TACACAAATATGCGAACACTTTGACTGCTTCTAACTGCTCACTACCAAGAGTGAGTGCATGCATAAACTTTTGCCAGTCTTATATAAGTGTTTTGCACTGAGAAAGTGCAAAGTACATCTCATGCCTTCGGACTCTTGTTCCCAACTGATTAAGTGTGGTTTTCATGGCTTGAGTATTGTCACGCAACAAGACAATATCATCCGCATACTCAAGGAACTAGTAACTAATTTAATATTAATTAACACAATTCATAATGTGATTCAGATACAAACACTTTTTATCTCATTTCCAATATGAATCACTGGCTGACCAACCTATTCGTTTACTCTTTTATCGTTCTTATACTTTTCTTGAAGAACTTCATAATAATAAGTTCTTGTTGGTGAAGCTTTCTATAGCCTTTTATTGATCAATAAGGAACGTGAATTGATGCACCATTATGTATAATTTGGTGTGTGTATGCTTGGATTCATCCTTTTTAAGTAGTATAAACCATACAAGTGATAATTTATCTGACCAACTGCAGGCTTTGGCGGAAAAAGTGAACAGAATTTATCCATAAACCCGGTTTCATCAGATTATCGTGTGATCATCTCTTAAGTATAGTATTCATTAAAAACTCAATAATTTGGAATAAACCTGCTAATTTACCTTGTTAAATATATCTACCATGTGATCAAAACTAGAAAAATTAATCGTCTGTTAATTTATTTTCTGTTATATATTTTCTAAGTACTATCCTTTGTTTCTTCGTTAACTTCCATGTGACTTTTAAAAAAAAAATACCAGCTTAATGATAATGTCTATGTTCAATTGTAGTGTCTAAAGTTTAACAATATTTCTAATACTTATTTCATTGAATTGAGATATTTGTAAGCAATGGTGTTTATGTACTGTGGTTCACTAATAATTTTATTCTTGATAGCTCATCATCACAAACAACTGATATGGATGCTGTCAATGTTACTAATTTCTTTTAATTATTTGATTGATTCAAGATTTTATTGTTGTTTTGCACAATATTATCTATATGAAGTTGGTCCTGATAATGTTATCCAAAATGACTATAAACGCTTACTTACTCCCCTCATGGAGGATCATAGGCCACCCACCAACATTATTCATCGACTATAAAAGCTACCTAGCAATTAAATTGTCCAACTCAGAGAACCCGACAACTTCAAAACAATTACTTTTATCAATCAGTGACCTTCTTTTTTGTTTTTTTTTCGTATGTGAAAATGATTAACTTTTTAGAAGTAACACTACCTCCTAGTAGACGATTTCTAAGAGCATGTCTCCCTTGAAAATGTAACAATAGTAATGATATTATAAAAACTAACTAAGTTTATAACTAATCAACCAACAATTTAGTGTATACCAACTTCTACTAAGTTTTATGCATTTATCTGAATTAAGTTAGTTCTGTTCTAACATATACGTAGTCAATATTAACGTTATTTGTATGATTGAATACCAGTAAACACTTTTGTATTTAATAGATCTATATTCAATCCTGTTGAATTAGCATAGAGGAAAATGATTCTTACAAATAAGAGTGATTTATAAGCGTCCCAGGCAAAATATCAGCGTGTCATTGCACTTTAGTTAAACAAAAGTTTATATATCTATATATATATACCTTAATCAATTTCAGTGTTCAATCATATATGAAAACATAATGAAGTGTTTTTAGTTAAGATACTGTTTTTGAAGGAAAATATAGACACACTACTTCATTATTGAAGTTAATAAACGTATATACACTTGAAATTTTCATCTAATTGTTTGTTTACAATAAATAATAATCATAAATTTAGTGTGATTTAATTTGATCAACTTCAGTTTGTCGTTTAAATCCTATCAACATGATATGCATCATTAAATGATTAAAGTATATATATATCATTCTCTCAACTCAGAAATATTCTATAAATTGAATAAAGTTTTGCGTTATACTAATTATGTAAGCATATTTATAATTCAAATAATACAAAAGCTTGTTTATCACAATCATGAATTCATTAGTGAAAGCCTAGTTTATTGATGAACTTTACCGACTGTTAAAATAATCTTGAGAAAGTCAGGGCGGATTTTAAGTTAGTAACCGAATAATTTATTTCGTAGAAGTTCATTAATTTCTTTTATTCATATAGTTCTGATGGTTAATAGTAGAGCAATACAAAGAAGACAATGCCTTACTTAGTAGAATTTTACTCACTTATAGATAATTTGAAATTTTGATTTTGTCATTGATCGAATACCCTATATTTTCACACCTTGTCTTAGTGGGTATATATTCATATTATTTAAGAATATGATCGTATACAGCGTTGTTGTTAGTTGATATAAAATACAGTTCACTAATGAGAATCTTCTTTACTCATTGTCCTCCATAAATGAATTGATTAATCAATATGCGATAGAATATATTTAACTATTATCTGAATTTTAGATACTTGCGACATTTATAATCAATTTTTGATGAATAGTTCTCTCTTTCTACTGATCATGAACTATGGTGGATCCTAATTGTTTACTATCGTCTAGTATATATTATGCATTCAGAAATACGAAAGAAGTTATTCGTCTTGATGAAATTTTCCTGCGTTCTGATCAGTAAATTTCGAATTTCTATCACATAAGTGTTGAATTGTATTCAAAATGGACACTGACTGATTGATAAATGGTAGACTATGTTACATCCCCGATTTTTTGACGATGGTTGGTGGAATTTTATCAGCCCTAAACGTTAGGCAAACACTTCGTGATTTCAATTAGTGTAAACATCGCAGACCTGTTAGGGATTATCCACCAGCTTAAGTAGTCTATTGGTAATTTCCCCGATTTTAACATTGTTTTGATACATCAAAGCAGCGTATTTATCGATCGCCTCTGTGACAGTGGACACGTAAACACGGACGGACGACCTAGCCTGATTGTCCCGCTTCGCAGTCTGTCCCAGCCAGTTGAGTGAAGAACGCAAGTCACAGCCTCTGAGTTATGAATCATTGTATTTCAAAACTCTATTTATATACCAAGCAAACAACCCACATCGTACCATAAAATAGGAAACAACATTTGTACAATTTTACAAGTGAAATAAACATCGACCAATAAGAATGTACATTTAAGGTTCAAGGACACCATTGACTTACATGGTAATTATTGGTCTCTTTTCGACTATCCAACAAAAAAATCATTAGTTCCCTAATGAGTATACAGATTGTAATGTATAAATCATGTATTTATCCTGAGGCAACACAATAATTCTTTGATAATTCTTGGGATCGTGATTTTCTCTTCCATAAAACGTACCAAACTATCCATCTTCAGTTGCTTTTTCCTAAAGAAAAACAATTTCGAGGAAACATAGACGTATGGTAGTTTATGTTGTACATTGGTCACCAATATTGTTCGATTTGTTGAAATCACGAATCCATCGACTTAGTAACACACATCTGAACTCTCAAAGACAGTGATGTTCACTTTCCCAGCTATGAAGTCTCATCGGTGCTACGATCTATGAGATTATACTGATGTTCGAAAATTTGCTATCAAGCCCACATTATTTTGTGTATTACATAGTTGTTATAACTGAACGAAATTGATGTGATTTGATGCAAGGCATAAAACAAAGAAAATAGATGAAGATAACCTTCACTTGCCGAAAACTCGTCTCCATTTGATGTAACCGCAAGAACTAGACCTGTAAAACAGAAATTTAATATAACTGAAACTGGATTTAAGAGATCATTTAAGCTGATTATGAGATACAACTGAAACGAGACAGCTATAACCTGGTCAAAAAAAAGAATTTATTGTAACTTTAACTAGATGTCACTTGAACTGAAACTTTAAATTAACCCGGTAGCCAGTCGTTGTAACCTATCAATCAAAGTAGGTTTTTGTGAATTCGCCTTTAGACAATGCCATTAACGTGAGAGCTAGTGATAATATCTAAATTAAGTAGAATGGGACTTGAATCTACAATCTATTAATTGTGAAAGCTTGAGTATTCCTAGCACTGATATGTATATATTTTGATAAATCTATCTGCTTTTACCATAAATTGCCTAATCGTGAAAAAGTGTATATATATGATGGTTGTTATATTGTGAATGTGTCATTTTATATCTTATCCTGTAACTTATAATTATACTTTCTGCTTCAATAAATAAACATTTCTTTGGCGCTTCTCGTTATAAATAATTTTGATGCTTGAAAGCTTCTGATTATTGTACATTATCCATTGGACTAGAATAATTTAATGATTATGTTTGTCAAATATGTTTATGTAATGGAAGTTTTTTAATCTTCATATGAATAAACTACTGTTATTGTTTATGTAGTTGTATCAACTTGATCTTATCCATAAATGAGAGCGACTTCTGTATTGATTATAAGAATTCATTATTACTTCTTTTTCTGTACAGTAGTGTTGTTAAGTACATATTAAAATATGGGTTTTGGCTATGAAGTATATAATTTAGAGTACCATTGGAAATCAGAGAGAAGTGAATAACTGTTTTGTTTCAGTTTGAAACCTGTCAAAAATGTAAATACCTTTAGACCACCAGAGTGACACACAATTTATACTTCTCTCTTCAGTCAATTCGTGATATTCTAAAACCATCATCCATTGGAATTGTTGATGTTTGTCCTATACCCAAAATCGTTTGAATTCCACGGATCATGGCTTCTCACTAGAACTCAAGAGATTTCTTTTCCCAAAGTTTACTAATTTTAGTAGCATCGTGGGTTTGCTAAGATTATTTACCTGTATATCACTAGTAGGTCATTGATGAAGATAATGTAACCTGTTTGTCTTGTTCAGAATTGGGGATTTTCTTTCCCGTCGCACACGCTTGTCTCTCAATCATATGTTATCTCTAACTTCGACTATTTTTGACTAATTGGTTAAGATTGATCATTCTACTTCATTTTTTTTCCCTTTTTTACTTTGATGATGAATAATACTGGTATCGTTGTCATCCAGTTATTATTTACGTCTTCGTGAAATTACTCGTCAAGCTGCAATTGACTTATTCATCGGAAATGAACAAAGTCCTGAACTAATCATGCTCTGCAATGGTTCCGGTTTAGAATCGTCATCGTTACAAGTAAGAATCATCTCCTCGTCGTTTTGTTTCTTTTATTGTTATGTTTTTATTTGATTCGTTTCATTTGTTTGTTTTAGTTTTGTTTACATTTGGTTAGATATGATGAGCTGTGAATTTTTATTGCTTTTTATCCCTTCTTCATTGTGTAAATGTGTGTATACGTGACCATGTGCGTACTCCCTTTATTCTGTTTGTTCCCCTTTTTTTCTCTTTGAAAATGAAATGTATCGTTTAAAAAAGAAACAGTATTAGTAATAATGTACTCGAACCGTTTATGCTGTTGTCAGCATGAAATTTTCTCTGATTAAAAATAATATTTTTATGACTTGTTTATTTAAGTAGTGATTGACTTTATTACTGTCCTCTTTTGTTTAATGATGAAAGATATGTAACATGAACTGTATATAATTGATAGGACTAGATTTATAATTCAGTAAATAGTTCATATTTTGATTATTTTTAACATCTTTTGCTCCGATTACACTGTTTAAGCAATTGAATAATGTTTATTCGTTATGATTGTGGTATACTGAATTTGAATTAGAAGGGAAATTTGATATTTATATGATACACATGGGAGATGGCAAAAACTTGATAGGAGATAAAGATTTCATTCACCCTTCAAACTACACGACAGCTACTTTAAACAATTATACTCATTTATGTGTTGATTTTATTTAGGTTTGATGAACGAACATTACATATAACTGGAATTGGCGAACTACAAATATATATATATATATATATATATATATATATATATATATATATTAAATAGAAGTACTACAAAGCACGTGGTACTTATTAAACTGAATGACGTTTACATTAAATTAATACAAGAAAAGACAATTCTGAATAAACGTTACTGGGAGATAAAACGAATAACAAACGGAACAAAAAGCACACTAAATTAAAATAGGGTCTTTTGTTTCCATCCCGTCTTAACATCTCTCACTTTTTAGCTGGATAAATATCAGTAGGTTTTCTGTAAGAGTTTTAACTTCCTGTGTCATTTGTAAGATATTGCTGCAAAATCTCTGCCGTAAAAAGAATTGTGATAAAATTTTACTTGAAAAATTGTATTTCATTAAAGCATCTCTCCTCACCGAATGCTGTGGGATACTTGTCGAACAAAGTCAACAACGTTTCGGCAATTTTGATGTTTTCAATACAATTCTTACTAGTCTAATATAATAAGCTTCTCGATATGAAGGCAATAGATATCGTAATATTGTAAGATTTTAAGTCTTCCCCATGTACTGTATGTGTTCCTTGTAACTACATAGTCTTCTTTATACCTTCCCTTCATCCTGATTTTTAATGTCGATAGTAATTTTCGAGTATAAACAATTGTTGTGTGTTTACTGACATTCTGTTGGCGTTTTGTCTTAATTCAATAGGTCACTACTTTATCGTGAACTTATGAACTCGTTATTTAAATTTTCTGTCTCTTTTTACTCTGTAGCTGTAATGTTATTATTGTGAATTGAATCCCAGATTGTTTGTAAAACAATAAGTAGCAATTACTGATCAATAAATAAATGTACACTTGAATATTAAGTTGTATGGATATTACAAATGCATCTTCAGATTCTTAATATAATAAATGGATAATAATCACAGTCTAATTGTTGATTATTAGTATTCTCAACACGAAGCAATCTATTCTCCATGTATAGTTATTTTGATCTACGTATCCATGATACTCGGTCACATATTTAATAACCCACTATTTAATTTTTTAAATGAAGAAAAGATTTAAAATAGTTATAATGGAAGTTGAACATTCATTGTTCAAATGACTTGTTAGTCACATATACAATGAAGTTATTAGTGGCACATTTTAAAATGATACACTAACATTTGAGATAAGATTTCAAGTAATCTATTGAATTATTTAATAGAATGATATATGTATCCAAGCAAGCTAATTCTGTAAAGATTTCAGTGTAATTAACAAGTGACAATCGGTGAGAAATATACAGCATTGGTCAACTGTTTTGTTCTATATTTTAACCTTTCAACTGTGTACAATCCCAATCCTCTATTAGATTCAATCTAAGATATTTAAATCTTTTTGAAAAGGATCGCGATACATCTGAGTTGCTTAATTGGTATCCGTTGATGATCCATTTCTTGCAATCTCAGTTCTTCTGTCATCTATTGTGTTTATCATAATTTTAAGCTTTCTGTACTAATGATCAGATTTATTTTAACTGAGGATAAGATTTCAACGGAATAACAGTAAAATTTGATCAGATGGGGGAATTTTCTTATTATTTTTTTGTAAGTACTTAGATTTTGTTCTATTATTGATGCCGTAAAGGAAAAACAGTTCCCTAATGATTGTCATTTAGTTCTTGTTTTATGGCTCCTGGGCTATGCATCTGAAGTTATTTAGTATTCTTAAGAAGTGTAACTTAAGAAGTATCATCTTCTTGGTAGAACTTATCTTACATTTTTCATATCATGTTATATGTTGTTGCATAAGCCATAGAAAATAATCATTGATGTCACGAGGAATAAAATAAATTTGCATAGTATGGATACAATTAACTTCACTGGCGAATTTCATAGACTATTGAACATTACGAAGTTAAATGAAAAATCACTAATTTGGTATTAAAATAATTTCTCATCAACAACTTCGTGATATCATATGGAAAATTACAGAAAACTTAAATTTACCAGTTACTTGATACGTCTTACTATGTTTAACTTCACTAATGTGAATCTTCCACTGAAGCAAGTCATTAGCTAAGGAATGGTTGCCTACTAACTCTGAAGTCTCAGAATTCGATCTAGTATGTACAAATAGTTTTTGATGAAGTTTTGTTCTGTGAGCTGGATGGTTTGCTCGTGGAGCTTTCATCGTTATTCTGAACAACATCATCAGCACAAACTTCATGTAGAAGTGAAATGTTCGAATTTCTCCATATATGGCTCACAGTTTGTCCTATAGACCTCGATGTTGATTGGTTATTGTTGACCTTTAACCTGTCATTGTTTACTTTTTTATTTTGGTTGTATCTCCCATTGATTTGATTTTTGGTCCTATATTTGCCCATAATTTTTTTGATTGGTTGAGAAATTGGATCGATTTCAGTGTGTTTGTTGATAGCTGATTGACCTGAGTGCCAAGCTTCTAAAAATCCGCTAGTGTTTTTAGAATTGCCTCTATTCAAGATCTCAACATTTTTCCCATCGAATGTGTGTCTACAGTTGTCCACATGTATTGATATAAGTGAGGATATACCATGGCGTTTGACCGCCAATTGATGTTCATGCAGGCGAAGATATAGAGGGCGTCCGCTTTGTCCACTGTAGTGTTTTTCGCAGTTGGAACAATTTATTTTGTGTATGATGTTCGATTGTTCTTCTTTGGTCATTTCGTCCTTTGGTTTGCACAGGATTGATTGAAGTGATTTTGTTGGTTTGTGTGCTACACCTATTCCAAAAGGCTTCAACAATCTCATTGTAGTTCCTGATATGCTTTTTATATATAGTAGGATAATCCATTTGTCGGTTTAAGTATTTGATTTCATTTCTGCTGATGCGTTTGGTTGGTATTTTTTGATGAAGTTGATTAGATAGCCGTTCTTTTGAAAGATAGTCTTCAGGCATTTTTCTTCATTTTTCCGCTCTACAAGTTTGTTGCAGTGTGTCCTCGCTCTCTTGAACAGAGTTTGTTCGCAGTTGATTTTGTGAGCTCTTGGGTTGTTGTTACCATAATTGAGGATTTGGTCTATGTGGGTCAGCTTCCGATATGCTTGATTCTCCAGTTTTTCTGTGTCGTTTCTGATGAGTAATACATCCAAGAATGGTAGTTACTTACTTGATTACTATTCCATTGTGAACTTCACGTTATCAAAGAAGTTGTTCATCAGATTGTAGGTGTTCTTAAGCTCGTCCTTTTTGACGATGACGAATTTGTCGTACACATAACGGATTCAAATTTTGGCTTGATCTTTAATAAGACCGAGGCTACCAGTGTCTGCATCACTGCTTCTGCAATAAGTCCTGATAGTGATCCCATTGGTGTTCCTTTCGTTTGTTCATAGATGTGATACCAATTTTTGTAAGCAGAACAGTTTTCCATTATGAAGAAACGCCAAATTATTTCCTAGATGTATGATTCAAAAGATCGGATGAAATTAGAACAACACTAAAAGTTTGTTTAATTATAGTTAAAAATGTACGTCGATTGAATCAATTCTGCAGCTTTTTCGATGGTGTCATGTTTTTTAAGTTGAATGATTGAATTGTTAATATTTTATTGTTGTCGTATCTTATTAGATTATGAACGTCACAACTTCAATAAAAAACTACAACCCTAAGGATACTTCTCTAACTATAAAATCAGTTCATTGTGGTAATCTTATACGTTATAAGTTGTCCTCAAATACTTAAATATCTGATATCTAAACCGTTTTACTGATGATGTTGTCTAAACAATAATGAAAGCTTTCTAATTAGACTATTCAGAACTCAATTCCACTAAAGTAAATCTACAATAATTTCGTTCAACCTAGTTATGCTTCATTACACTTTTTTTATTATATTTTTTTTCTATTTCTATTTGCATTACTGTTTTATTTCTTATCAGTATGTGGATTTGTGGAGATTGTCGTATTTTCACATTTGAAATCACGAGCTGATTTAAGCTAGACCGCCATTGGAGACCTGGAATAATTAGGAGGCTGTTTCGTCCTAGTATGGGGCTCCTCAATAGTGTCCATCCACGATCCCGCATGCGGGACTCGAACCCAGGACCTACAGTTTTGCGCGCTAATGCTTAACCTCTAGACTACTCAGTCAACACCCAACGGTGTTAATGTTTTAACTTACTTCATTACGATGATAAAATTTTAACGATAGTTACACTATATTTTATTTAAGCATTAGTTATTCATCTACTAAATTGGAAAATAATTTTTCAGAAAGTCATTATAAACGTATCATTCAATAGTATATCACGTGCAAAAAAAATTATTCTGAACCAATTAAGGTTATTAATGAGTAACTTAAATGTTGCTATTAGTAAGAGTTCGTAATTTGCCGTTGTTTTTTTTCAGGACTGTAAGTGATCGTTCTCTGCTGGTATATGTACATCATGAATGAATTGCCTCAATATTACTACTTAGGTGCAAGTTTTAGTGAAGTGGGATTGTATATATCAGTAGAATTCAGGAAACATGTTTTTTTCTATTTAGAGCTCATCAACTCGATTAACCTGCATCGCAACGTTGATGTTTACACAGAAATCTGAACTTCATTAACACTTATGACCAAATGGGAATATTGAAACAATCCACTCAGGATGCACATGTATCAACAGGGACTGATCATTTGCAATACTGAATAGTAAATACGGAAAACTCTTATCAATGCATTCATACCCGTTGAACAAGTTAGTGCGTATCTGGATTTAGTAGCTTCATCGGTAATGTGTCGGCGTTTCAATTAAAGGGAACTTGATTTGATTCTCAGTTTAAACATCAACAGTGGAATGAAGATACGTCTAGCTGACGAGCTCTAAGCAAGGCAAAACATGTTTCCGTGGTTCCACTACTAGTCAAGACCCAACTTAGTTAAATATTGTTCGTTGGAAACAAACGCTAATATAAATAGCAATCACTATAGCAAAGGAGTAAATATCTTATTTACTTACTTTGTTTACGAATTGCAAAAGAAAACATTAATTATATGTTTTATTTAGTTAGTAACTAAAAGTTATTATTGTCTGGTCTGAAAGCATTGCCATTATCACCAAACCCTATGAGTTAAACAAGGTCTCTCCAATCAATATGCAAACTGATCCCTTAAAATTACCAGTTATGAAGATACGCATTAACAGAAACGCCCCAGGACAAGTAAATTAAATATTTTATTGAGTGTAACATGACCTTGTAATTGGTTGCTATATCGTCACAGAGTTATCCACTCTTCCTCTAAATGTTGATTTCGAGTATTATTTGATACCTTTTATTCAACCCTTCCCCATCTTATATGTTCTTTTCAAACTATATTCTCTATGCTTATCTTTTCACTATCACTTATATTTATATTACTTCATCTCTTTTACATTGTTACTTCTTAATTTTCTCTAACACTAAAATGAAGTGTGTCAACTTTGATCGGTTCATAACTGTGTCAGGTTATGTGTTTTCTATGACTGAAGTTGATTGACTAGTGTACACAAAGCGAAAAAATAAAATGTCAAATAATCGAATATTGAACATCTAATTGATAAGACCAAGTGTTAACCGTTTTTCAATTTCAAATCCTATTGATCTCTTTCTGACAATGCATATTACCAATAACTGGAAGATCTTAGATTTTTAATGAGAGCAATAGATTCTCTTTGAAGTGAACAAGAACACCAGTGGGGGACAACCAAGTGTATTTGAATACAAAATTACAGAATCTCAGTAAAATCTAAGAACCATACAGTAGATACTTTATTTGCAAAATATCCATCAATGGTTTCAGACTTTGTTGTTCCTTCTTTTATATTCAATCACTCTGTGTTCTCATTCTGTTCTCTTAGATTTTAATCGCTGAAAAATTCCCATTATATTAAAACACAATTGTATGAACGAAGAATATTCTTGTCAATAATTTCTCATCAGGTTCTACAATTATAAATCTAAATTAATAATCCATAAAATTGGCCAGATTTAAGGCAGAGTACATCATTTGGAAATTGTAATATATGAATTGAGAATTGTTGTTTGTTATATAAAATCAATTCAGATCGTTAATGGTGAGGTTGTTTAATATAAAGTGTTAACTTGAATCAGTTTATAAGCGAAATGAAATCGTGCGATAAATGATCAGAATAAATATGGTCAACATGGGGTGAGAGAGAAAATAATGAAATAAAAATCGGAAATTACGTAATACGTAGAATAATATGAGTTAGGTCAGACATAGTAGATTTAGGGGTGGATATTGAATAAATTCCTCAAAAGGTTATCAAGTGTAAAGGTAATGATGATAATAATAATAATGGCAATAATAATAATAATAAGTTTGGTACATAAAATGAACATTAATCAGATTACGTAACCATAACATAGAATTAATTATTAACTAATTGGCCCCAAAGTTGGCCAGGGTAAAAGGAGTGGCTGAACATACTTCTTTTGGATACAAAGATCTGGCTTTTTGATCCGAATAGCAATTGATTCAGCCGTTTGTAGGATTCGCAGTCTGACGGAATTAGGTAGACTGTTGTTAACACGATAGATTATTGCAAAAGATTGCTCCGTGTTGGCTGTATGTCCTGTTTGAACTAGATGGTGTAAGAAGGAGCTGTCAACAGTTCTGACAACACCTTTGCTTAACCACACGGGGAGGTGCTCACGAACATCTACCAATATACCTTGCTCCACAGGAGCAGTTGAATTGATAGATACAGAAGGAGGTGGCTAGTCTAGGTAATTTATCTTTCAACCTTGGAGTGATTATTGGTCGTGTGGAGAATAGTAGTTGTAGTTTAGCTGCGTTAAAAGTCCTTTGAATTGATCTACTTAACTTAAGTCTTAGCGTTTCACTCGGTGCATCGCCTCTTAATTGTAAGCGTATATACAGAGGCTTTTTATTTACAGTTGGGCATTCTCTATGTTGTCTTTTATTGGCTATATTTTTATTTATAAATTTCTCGGGATATCCATTTTTCTTCAGGGTTATGTATAATGACTTTGTTTCATCTTCAATCGTATCCACAAGGCATATAGTCTTGATTCTATGATGCAGTGTCTTAATAAGGTTCCTTTTGTGTTGTAGAGGGACAAAACTAAGAAAGTTTGTATACTGACCCGTCCAGCAACTATATATATATATATATATATATATAACTTTTTTCTTTGGAATATCCTTTATTTATTTACCGTTCTGTCATAGAGGTTTTTTTCTTAATTTATAAATATTATGATCAACGAAATTGATGACCCGCCATTTTGTTCAAATTCAATCCAAAGTTTGTTTTTATTAACCAATCAATCAGTCAAACAAAACAGTTTATAAATAATTCAGTTCTATTATAATGAATGTTTTGAAAATAAAATTTATGCATTCAATTTACACTTTTAATAATAAAAGTAATAATGATGTATATTTTAAAAAAAAAGATAATTCTATAACAACACTAATGATTGACTGTCATAAATGATTGAATTATAATTCTTTTACTAATTGATGAAATGATTTAAAATGTAATTTAATTTGTATCTTTATTGTTGGTTGTTTTAATTCATTCATTTGAAAATTGTGTTCATTATTTGATTGGGGAAAAAAAAACTTTTTTTCTCGTTTTAGGTTCGAGAAGAACGTATTAAACTTTTGATTAGTCGATGTCAAGAACTTTTAATTCAATCGGATGAGAAATATTTCGCTGAATGTTTACTTGTATCATATTCTGAGTAGGTTTACTGTTGTATACTTTACTACCATATGTTGAGATTTTGGAAAAATTGATTTTTTTTTCACTGATTATTTTGTTTAATGAGAATTCCCCATCAGAAACATGTTTAAAGCTTCTCTAGATGGAGTAGGATAGGTATATACTAGTTAATATTTAAAACTTAACTATTTAAATCAGTGAATAATCAGTGGGCATTATTTAAGCAATAATGCGATTATGTTATCTGTTAATAAGCCTAGAAGAACTGCTTAACTTTTCACTGATACCGTTACCTGATAACAACTGATTCGATTGCACTAAGCATAAAACGCAACTCTTTTGCTACATGAAGTCACTCAAAAAGTATGATCTTTGTATGTTTGTCTAGGGATATTGTGGAATCATTTGATTTCTATTGTATTGGTGCTGAACTTAACACTAGACTTAAACCAGCACTAATCAAATAAGATCTCAACGACAACTGTTATTATTCTATTAGACTAAAAGATCCAAACATATTAATAAGTAACTCTCGAAGAAAACAAAGTATTTTCATTAACTTTGCTTATGCTTTAAACATTTCAACCCAATACTAAAACAAAGAAGAATTCTACCACCCAATAAATAACTTTCTTCTCCTAACTCTTAATGACTATCGTATTTTCGACTGAAGGTACCAATCCATTCATTAGATGCTTAGAACACTTATTTCAAGTCAATGAACTTGATATTTTACCAAATCAACATGTTTGATAAATAGCTATGTTTAATTGTATCGATTATACAACCTATTTCAAGTATATATTATGCAAATAGTTCAGCTCATCGAATCCTCTATATTGATAATGACATGTACACAAGTATCTATAAAATTCATTGTACACTTTTTATACATTTACTTACTGCCATTTCTTCATGATCAACCCTACTGTTAATTGACTTAAATCTAAACGACTGGTGTTCTAACTTGGATTGACTCGTGGCTTCAACTGAGAAAATCCTACAATCTCCACAAATCCCTATACTAATAATCTCTATTGTTTAATCAATAAATAATTCCGATTATAAGTTGACTTATAATAAGGATTCTACTAGATTTAATTAATACATTAGTTTTCTACACGTAAATATTCAATATCAATTATGTGAAACATTATACATTTTGAATATTGAAATAAAATTATTTTAAAATGATTTCGGTGTAATAAGAAGACGAAGATGATCAGAATTATGTGAAGTATTAGCTCAAGTAAGAGCATTTATCTATAAAAATAATAGGTCAACTAGACTGGAAATGGGGTAAGAGGAGATAAGGATAATGATAAGAGTAATAATAATATGAACACAATTCGAAACCTAATCACTCTGGATAATAAGTCAATATTACCAGGGTAAGTTTAAGGTAAGAACAAACTGTTTTTGAACATACAAAGGGGGTTTGAATTTTCGTGTGGCTAAGGCTTCAATAAACCTTAGTATATGCCCTTTTACACTTTTATACAAAACCACAAAAGCCGAGTTAAGATCAATCTTATAGCCTGTTTCAATTATATGTTTAGCAATAGAGGATGATGGATGCTTATCCTCTGCTGTTATTGGGTCACTTGATTGTATTTGTTTCCGCAACCATTTTGGTACATGTTCACACACCCTAATTTTGAGATCACGATTGCTCCTCCCTATGTATGTAAACACAGTGGGATGTGACACAATCATTTTCATGTCTTAGGTTTTGAATGAAATATTTTATACTAAAATGAATCAACCAATCAAAATTCTGTGAATGCTTCTTTTTTCTTAAACTAAATAGTGAATACCAGTGTTATTTCTCTTACTAGTAAAAATAAATAGAATGATTATCTAGGAAATGTGATTTTTATCCTTGCAAAAAAAATATGAAGAACATAAAACACTAGGTTCATTTCCGATTTCATGTGTGAATATAATCTAATGACCATAATTATTAAATTCACGTAATATATTATTGGTACCAACCGATTAAATTCATAGTGAAATTCAAGGTGTAAACATTTCAATTTCCTGGTGTTTTATTCAAACAAAGACTACATGGTTCTCAAAGACTGATATGTAAGAAGCCTACTCGATATGAGCAATATACCAAATTCCAATGTCGGGTGCCAATGAGCATAAAGAGGAAATTAGTTCATTCTCTGTTTTTGAGAGCTAGACATATACTCATGGAGGACACTGTCAATGAAAAATTTGAGGTGGTTTCTCTTCAGGGACACTGATAGTTATTTGAAACCAAAACGTACGCCTGAAAGTACGTCCCGACAACATTATCCATGAACATTGAGTTGAAAAGAAATACGGCTGGAGAAAAAATGAGGAACAGACCTTCATGATCTTCGAAGAAGACCTATTCAACGGAGTCCTGAATTATTTTCTTCGTTAGGCACTTCATTTTGTGAGGTATCAAGGATAAACTGTCTCTTTAGGCCACCTCGATGTCCAATAGTTCGCTTACTTGCTATTGTGAGTAGGCTATATTGTCTGTACAAACTGTGCACTTCCTAAAATCATATCTGAGCACAAGCCCACACGAGAATACGAGTCATTCAGCAACTCAATCCTTAGACATATAGTCATCTATTATCTTTTACTACCACTGAAATCGTTGTTCATGATTATCTAAAAAGTCAAAAGAAATGATTTAAGATGGCTTGGATCGGAATTTTTACATGGTTAAAACTATACCAACTCACCGATTCAAATCTGATCTCATTATATAAGTCATCAATGCTAGTTATTCTTTTGTTCTTCATCTTCTTTATATTTATCAAGTGGGTAATTGTCTAATACATCTATTCTATAAACTAAAACTTCTTATTACCTTCAAGGCTACTACGTAACTCACTCAATACTGTAGAGATAACCCAATATCTCTCTCATTATAAACCACTGTATGCATAGGTTTAATAAATTTTCCTTTAATCCATTGTGATTATTTAATCAAAATATTATCCTTATAATCAATGAATATTTTGAAAATTATTTATTCTGATTAATTATAAACAAGTTCTTAAATGGAATAGGTAGAAGAAGACAAACCTATTAATGAAAAATGCATAAATATCTATCACTAAACGCATTTAACTCATTTATCCATTGATTCTTAAATGTAAAAGTGTATATTCATGTTTATGACAGAACTCTATACCGAAAAATACAAGTGTTTTTTTTTCCAACCATCTTATAAGAGTGATTGATAAACAAATGATGATGATTATACGTCAGATATATACATATATATATTCTCCTGTTTATCTTTTCTAATGTTAAATAGTTCAAATCATTTGCTCCCATACTATAATTGTATTATATTTTAGTGTATTTTATGAAACATAAAAGTCTCAATCTTCTTTTGTGCGTGCTTTTTCTTTATCAACTGGCAATGAAAACATTTCCCCTCTGACTTTTTCCCTATTGATAAGCGAACTAAACACATGATGAGCAGCAAACACATATAAGTTTTCATTTTTCTTTCCCATTATGTCAATGAAGCTGATTATATGGTACTTATTATATTAAAAATAATACGATTTACATGCCAATAAAATTTCATTGAGTGGAGTAGATCAACTCATAGACATACGTGATAATCCAAGGATAGTGTATCATTAAATGAAACGATCTTTTTTAATTTAAAATTTTTAAAAAAATGAACAAAAAGATCACTTCAATTACAGAGGATTAAGCTAACGCTTAAATTAGTCGGTTTTTATCAATTAGAGTTTTCAGGTTTGTGCTATGCTCTGCCTACTTTGGTCCAGTCAGTTGGATAGGAATATACTTCCACATTTGACTGATATAAGTTTGTATTCATTGAGTAAATAAAAACTAGTTACATTCAAATTAAATGACTTAAACTTCCGTCATTAACTGATAATATTACATTTAAAAAAATAACACCATTATTCATAGTCATGACAATATTCATTCGAATTTAAAGGAGCAAAAATAATTCATCAATAAAACCACTTTATTCTTTTCATTCAAAAAAATTCTCTCGTTTTTCCAAGATTTGTTTTTTTATCCAGAAAAACTTAATTTATGTTTTTTAAAATGGAAAATAGATGTTATTCTATAGGTCTGTTCTCATAGTGAAGATGGCTCGCACATTACAGACTAGCTGTACTTAAGTAACCATTGAATAACTGTTTCGTCTCAGTGTTATAACTCTTCAGTAGTGTCCACTAATGACTTCTCTAATGTCCATTTATTTTCATTAGTTGTTTAACCGTAGGTAATCCATGAAGTTAACTATCTTCAAATCAAAATGTCTTCACAAATCTCCTTTCCTTATATTCTCGTTCTACTTATCTATTCCCATTCATTTGTTTACTGAGATGATGGATTATGATTCATCTGTTTTGTAAAGAGGATTATTTATCCGGAGTACTATGCAATAACGAAAAATCTCTGTTGTAACTGAAGTGAAAAAACACTTTGATTACGGACTTGAGATTGAGATTATGTTATGACTTGTGACCGCTGATCATGGAGCAGTGACTTATCGATCGGATCAATGACGCGTAAACACGTGCGAGCAGTCTAGAGTCCTGACTGACCCTGCTTTCCGCCTAGCCAGCCAGATAAGTCCAGAACACAAGTCTCAACCTCTGCGATATGAATCATTATATTTCAAACATACTCTGTTTATATACCAATCAAACAGACCACATCGTACCATAAAGTAGAAAATAACATTTGTGCAGGATTTGACCAACAGGAAAATGACACGTGAAATAAATATTGACCAGTGAGGAAACGACACGTGAAAAAAAAATTGACCAATAGGAGAATGATGCTATTTCAAGTCCAAGGATAGCATTAGACTTAACAAAATAATTTTGGATATTTTTTGAATATCCCAACAGATTATTTATTTATTTTATTGCATACATCATTTATTAGTGAATCCTCTTTGAATATATACAAAGGAAAGACTGAGTTCATAATATGAACACACTGTTTGTGAATTTTCGATTTACGATA